ATGGGATATCCAAATCCTAATACAATGGTTAGATCAAAATACTCCTGAACCGAACAGTATTTTCCAAGTATCTAGGCATCTAGCCACACTTTTATTATTATACTCTGGTAGAAGAGTGCACGATCTCACCTTACTAGACATAGGAGAAGATCACTTTCAAGAACACCCGCAGTACCTGATTTTTTGGCCAAAGTTTGGTTCGAAGACTGATAGAAATAACTACCAACAATCTGGTTCACTGGCGCCGACTACATGGGGGCATCGGGGCATCGGGGCATCGGGGCATCGGGGCAGGTGCACCCATGAGCAACCTCTCATGGGTGCTGAGCACCCATGGGAGCTCTGATGGGAAATGCGGAAGTACAAACGTCTTTAATGGTCATTCCGTTCCATGTAGTAATATCCAGTTATCATGTAATTTAAATTTACACAACTTTGTATAAGAATTATACAAGTGGTGTGTTTGTGGTTACAGTGGCTAAATAAACCTTTACATACAGTGGCGACAATAGAGTTCCCGCCGCCATCTTGTTCCCAACCTCTTGTTACTTTCAAATATTAATATATAAGTTAAATGGACATCTTTCATAAAAAAATTAAATCGACATATTTGATGACCATTATTAGGTTCATCAAATACGTTGTTTTCCATGTTTCATGATGGATGTTCACGTAAAACCTATATTCATATTTAAAAGTCACAAGAGGTTGGGAACAAGATGGCGGCGTTTTCAATATAAATATATGGGATTTTAGAACCAATCAAAAATGAGATAGCAATTGTCGCCACTGTGGTAATAAAGTCACTATATTTGTGGTATTCTGTCCATCTGTCGTCCTTGCTATTCTCCATCTCTAGTTTTTTTATGATAATAATCGGGATAGTCCGGCCCACAACGGGAAGTCTGGTGCTTGGTGCTTGCGTCTTATGCTATATAAGGTCTGTTCCAACCACAGCAGGAAACCGTACAATGTACCGTCACGATTCTGTGCAAAGCGTAAAATGTGTGCGTAGAAACCACTGTGTGGTTTCATGGGACGATTTTTGACGTATTGAAACAGACCTATAATTTAGTTTTGCGCGTGGGTAGGGATGGCAATGATATATCGATGTTTTGTAGAAATCAAAATATTATCGATATATTTTAATTGATATTTAGATTCGATATATCGAAAAAAATATCGATAAAATCTTTTCGCTATATCGGAACTTTTATAATAGTTGCTTTCGGAAAGTGTGATCCGATTAATCGGTTAGATTGGATTAGTAATCTCATCGTTTGTAAAATGATCCGAAGTCGAGTACTCGCGTTCGGTGAGTGATCTTGTTGACTGGTTTTCTCATATGCTTGTGATCTTGTTAACTGCTCTTGACGTGGGTAGAAAATTAATCTATCAGCTGTTTTATTTCTTTGGTTATGTGTTATGTTTATTTTATATGTTTTGTTTCCGTTTTGTGTTTGAATTCTTGTGATTTGCTGTGTTTAGGGTAGTTTGCCGTATCTTTGAAAAGTCAAAGGTACCTAAAGACGTAACCTCAAATCGTTGAAGAAAAACAAGAAAAACAAACGTGGGTGCCGGCGATCGTCGATCCCAATCGTTCGGAAACGTTGAATAATCTACTCTGAAAACGAGCTAAACCGCGATCAGCTGATATTAACCTACTCGATCCAGGATTTACATTTCCGAAAGCAGCTAATAATATAGGCTGTTCATTTGTACTTGCTACCTGTTCGAAAAATCAGGAAGATCGGCTAGGAGCTGCTATTTTATGAGCTTATCCTTGCGTTCGGTATTTTGCTCAAAGAGCAGAGCGTGCAGAGCGGAGCCGTAGTCAGGTGACCATCGAGCGCACAGAGCAGTTAAACGATGTATCAGAAGGCCCGAAATTTTAATAAGCGAACGCGAATGAGCCTGCACCGAATATACTTTTCTAATAAACGAACGGTAAATTCAAGCTCGGAGAACTCAGATCATAATACCGAACGCACGGTATATATGAGAGTTATGGGACAAGTGAACGGCGATCAGCTGCTGAGATCTGCTTGAAGCAAGAAAAGCAGTACAAATGAACAGCCTAATAGTTTATTGGTTGACAGTGACAGTCTGACAGTTGACAGAGGCGGCTAAAATGAAACAAAACGTCAGCACGCATTTCGGCATGAAAGTACCAGGGTGACTCAACATTGCATATATATTTTACTTTTCCGCACTAGTGCCTAAATGCGTGCAGAAAGAAGCACTTCTCGCACGCTCGTAGAAAAAAATATTCGCCTCCGGCGGCGCCTACGACGAGCTTCCCCCTCCCCCTATAAACAAATTTATAAAGTTATTCTGCACCCATGAGGACTTCCAAAAGTCGGCGCCTCTGATCTGGTTGGAAAATTCCTAAACATAGTAGTAAAGGCCTGGATGTATGTGAATGGACAAACAAACTGATTCAGCTTGCTAGAATAAGAAAAGGGTCAATAAAGAATATTACTTCATTATTTATTACCACAAGGGGTAAGGTAAAATCTGCCTCAAGATCGGTAATAGCAGGCTGGGTCCGGTCCTGCTTAAAGGCGGCAGGTATTCAATCATCAGCGGGCAGTTGTAGAGCTGCCGTAGCATCTGCAAGATTTGCAGACAATACCCCAATTGACGTCATTCTAAAGCAGGCAAATTGGAAGAACAGTAGAACCTTCTCAAACATTACTACAAGAATATAGAAAGATCTGCACGGGAAGAGGAGATAGATATTCAAAACTGTTTTGATTTATTTGAAGCTGTAAATTAGGGTTATCTAGATAATTTGATTGAATTTTATAAGTTTTGATTTGATGTTAACGTATGTTCCGTAGAAGAATTTATTTGTATTATTTTCATTCCACTGGTGAGAATAAAATTACTTTCAGTTTTCTATAAAAAGATGTTTTATTCTAATTTATTTGTATCACATTACGCTAAACATTTTATAGCCGGCAGAAACCAAACAGATCTCATATGGGTCAAGCGGAAGCACAGACACGAAATAGAAAAGTTTTTCCCCCAAAGGGATAAAAACTATTATTTCGAGTCTTGCTGAAGCTTGACCCATCCATTGAAGACCTTGCCGGCTTCAAAGGTACTGAAGTAGATCGTATACACGTTTGCCGGCCGACGAGAACAGCAGTAGAGGGGTGCGCCGCTAGGAGCAGCAGGTAGGACGTAGCGTAGAGCTGGCAAGAAAAGGACAGAGGAGCACTGTTTTGGGTGAATATGCATAAGGTAATCTCATATGGGTCAAGCTTCAGCAAGACTCGAAATAATAGTTTTTATCCCTTCGGGGGAAAAACTTTTCTATTTTATAAATAAGTATGCAATATCACTTTGTACAGATCCAATATCGGGTGTTCGAAATAGTAATTTTTAGTATAGTAAACTATGCAAGTCTTATCAGAAAAGAAAAATATATATCCATAATTGAAACAAATAAAAAAGACTAAAGGAAGACTTTGAATTTCAAAATTAACAAAAGTAGAAAAAATAGTAGATTAGTTTATTCCACCCCCGATTTTTCTATACTATATCTTCCTTGCTATGATTAGCTTCTATATAAAAGCAAATTTTGACCAAACTTAGATTGATATACATATTACTCAATAAAATGCACAATAGAATTTCAATACTAGCGCACCATCAATTTCTAGGTATGTATTTATTGTCTCACTCTCACCTAAATATTTATGGATGAGAGAATTGTTTATAGTTGAAAATGAAAAGTTGTTCCCAGCATATTTTAAAGCTGAAGCTTGTTTAAAAGAAAAGAGAAACAGCAATCAATATTGAATTTTTACAATTTTTGCTTGTTGATAAAATATTTGTAATTTTAATTAATAATAATAAGCATAAAATGCTGGGAAAGTATCATCATAAATTGAAGTTTTTTTGGTGCAGTCAAAATCTGAACTTTTCTAGCTTCGTTTAAACTAAACCAAGTGGCTTACTTGATCTAAACTTTCTGCAATAAACCAACCAATTGGAAGCTGACAAAGCTTGATTAACATGTCTGCTACTCATTAGGCGTTGATGTTCTGTAAGGATTTTCAAAATCAAGTGAGAAGATAGCATTGATTTGCGGAGAAAATATAGCAGCAAAAATCCTTTTTTCTATTTTCATTTTATTGAAAAGAGAAATCACAACAAAACATGCAGCAAGTTGCGTTAAAATCTGAATACATTTTAAACTGCCCTAATGCATCAATGCATTATGAATAAAATGGCAGTGTGTCGTTTTGTCAATCTACCAGAAAATCATATAAAATTCTGGCTTGAAGGACAAGATAGTGTAGCAACACTGAAAGCAGATCTTTAAAAAATACCCGACAATCTTAAATAAAAGCGTTCTAAGAGTGGCACTTGAGGGTTAAGTTTTTTTCCTTATGATCCCGTCTCATGCATTTTTTGCCTATTAAATCGCTTTTAAAATGTATGCTCAAAAACCAAAACTAATTTAAAAAGACATCTACACAAAAACAAAATTCAATGTAGAGTGTTTAGCTAAATTGTTTGTTTGCCAGCTAAACACTGCACATTAAAAATTTACATTTCTATTGTTAGTTGTTAGTAAATTATACCTACAGTGAATTTATGCAATTGTTGGTGTTTTTTCTGCATAATATTTGTTCCATTTGGCTGGTTTTTATTAAAAAATTTAAAAAACTGGAAAATTCATGCAGTTTTATTTCCACAGAATAATATATACTCGAGTTGGGAATGTATTTGAAAAAATATATAATCAGTTTTTTTTAGCACATTATCAATCAATGGTAATAAAAATGCGATTGAAGCTGGACCACAAACCCTCTACATATTTTGAGGAAGAATACACAAATTTCATAAGGGATGGACATCCATCACAACCTTAACCATCATTCGGAAAACCTTCTGAAATATTTACAACAAATCCAATATTGGGTTGTCGATCCAGGTTCTTTATGTAGTATTTTCAATTATTTGGCTACCCAAAAATCTTCGAGATTTAATCAAATCTCTGAAAAAAAATAATACTTCTTACCTTTAAACAAATGTATTTTCGTATATTATAACAAATCTACTTAAATCTACTGTTGTCTAACTGTCAACATCAATCCCACCCTTCTTTGACTCTCAAATGAGCCAATCTTGACTCGATAGAAACATTTTCATAATATTCCTTCCTTTTTGTCATTGTTTTGAAATAGTTTTCCTCGTTTTTACCCAAAGCCTTTGCGTGTCCAAATGATTGTTCCTGAAAAACAAAAATAGAAAAAATAAATATTAGCGGAAATATCCTAAAAAAAACAAAACAAAAGGAGATGATAAGCAATGGACCTCTTGCACTCAATTAAAATTAGGTATATAATTTATCTGTAACGAAAGTGTATTTGATGTACTACATAAAAGGAGTCGGAAATTGAAAGAAAAAAAATCAGATTATTTGAATTTTGCGGTATAATTTTGCACCAATCAAAAATCACTGTTTGTCTAAGGTTTGCCAAATTTCCATGTTCCAAACGAATATTTTTTTTTTCTTTTTGAACACATCGGACAAAAAAGGAGGCATATATTTATCAAAATCGCTTTGCGTATCGACTTTGGTATACAGCTCTACTTTTGCCTTGAAACTTGAGGAGAACGACATCTATTAATTGAAGTATCGACTAGTATCGACAATTTTCTTTCCTTGTCTATAAATGCGAATTAAACAAAGAAATCGATATCTGCACTAATCCGGCACAGTATAAAGTACGAAAACGATAAAAGCGATTTTTGTTTACCGTAAGTCAGTGACCCGTGGCTGGCCAATTTACTTATATTCACAAAATAAACAATAATTAACAACAAAAAACAGCAGGCTGGGGCTGGGGGCAGTGTAATTTGGAGAAAAAAGAAAAATGATGTTTTTGCCTGGGAAAATTTGAAAAGCCGAAAAGGTAAGGGAAACTGGAAGGTATGGAATACAGACACATAAAAATTATACTCGTGTTTTATTTCCCATAAACCACTAAGAAAAATAATAATAATTTTAATTTTTAATAGTTAGGTAATGGAGGATGGAAGAGTTTGTAAAAACCGATTCCAGGAACTGGCCAGGAGGACTTGAGATAATGCCAATGCTTTCGAATAAAAATTCACATGAAGGGTGAAGTTTGTTTTTTTTTTTTAAAGATAAAAGTCAAAATGACATTATGTTGGAAATACAATGAAAAACTGTCAAATTTTTTATGTAGAAAAGGCTTGTGTTGCCAACATAGGTAGTTACTAAATTTTTGACTTGGGGAATTATTTTTAAAAAAAAACAGACTTTAGGTACTTGGTAGATAGGTATTAGTAAAATGCAGGTGGAGTAGAGCAACCTTCTACAAATAATGATTCCCTTATATGCTTATTAATAATAATAATAATAATAATAAAGTTTATTTACTAAGTTTACAATAGCAAGTTTACAGTGGAAAAAACTTACATCTAGCAAATAAACAATAATCACAGAAGCAGAAATTAATCTGCTTGTACGTGATGTAGCTATCTATTATCTATATTACTTACTTAAACTATACTTAAATATAATATACTCAGCTATCATCTAAATTATTAAACATACCTATCTTAAATTAAGATATCTATCTTATTGATTGAGATTCTTAATCATTTCTTTTTCAAGAATGAAAACACAAATCGGGAAAAATCTGTTTAGCCTGGTTTAACATTGTCAACATTGGGTAAATATGCCAAAATCATGTAAAACAGTCAAAATCGGGGGTTTTTTTAAATTTTAGTTCATATATAAATTACATATTAAAAGTAGGTACACATTATTTAATTTTGTTATCTAAGTATTTCGTGAAATGTTTGTCGTCCTGTCTGTTGAATCCATTTTTTTATAAGAACTTTTATTTTATTTTTTTGTTGGAATTTTTGTTTAAGATTTTCAGGTAAAGCATTATATAATTTTGGAGCATAATATGAAAAGCATCTTTGACCAACCGATTTTTGTGTTTTTGTTGGAACTGCCATTCTATTTCGAGCTCGTGTGGTGTAGGAATGTGCAGGGTATTCAATTTTAATTTTTTCTTTATGAATGTTCATTAATATATTTTGAACGTACAATTGTCTAATATCCAATATGCCCGATATTTGATAAAGTTCATCTGAAGGAAACAAACGCTTTTTTTGGTATATTATTTTCAAAATCCACTTTTGAACAATTTCCATAGAGCCAATATAATAGTCCCTAACACCACCCCATCCACAGAGCCCGTATGTTAGTTGCGATTGTATAAATGAAAAATATAGCGTCCGAAGGTTTTGGATGTCCAAAAAATCTTTCAACCGTCTGAATTTCGAGATGAAGAATCGTAATTTTTTGGTTACCTCGTTGGTATGAAGGTCCCATTTTAGATGCCGATCTAATGTGATTCCTAGATATTTTATTGAATTTACTTCTGGTATCAAAATGTTTTGGTTTATGTTAAGGGAACCAAGGTGTGGCAGACCACTGACATAGGACGCAAAACTCAAATATTTTGTTTTTGCTACGTTTAGCGATAGTTTGTTTGCAGCAAGCCATTTAGCAATTCTTAAAAAATCCATTTCAACAGTCGGTTTAAGGGTTTGCCAAGAGTCACTAGTGTAGAATATGGCAGTGTCGTCAGCGTAACTTACAATTTTTCCTAAAAAGTTCATTTTGAAAAGGCTGTTCACATATATAATGAAAAGTAAAGGGCCAAGTACTGTGCCTTGTGGTACGCCGCACGTGACATTTTGGTAAGAACTTTCGACACCATTTACTGTTACTAATTGCTTTCTGTTCGTTAAGTAGCTTCTGAGTAGACTTAATACGGTACCTCTAATTCCGTAGTAACTAAGCTTTCTGAGTAAAATAGTGTGATCAACGGTATCGAAAGCTTTCGAGAGATCAACAAAGATACACAATGACGGTTTCGATTTATCCATAGACTCATACAAATGGGATGTTAATTTTAAAATAGCATCTTGTGTTGATTTTTTCTCTCGAAAGCCATACTGTTCGTCAGAAAGAATAGAAAATCTATTTAAAAATGATGTCAAGCGAGTCTTCAGAATTTTTTCGAAAACTTTGGCAATGTTGGAAATTAATGATATGGGCCTATAATTGCTTGTGTCGACTAATGAACCACTTTTATGTATAGGTGTAATTTGTCCTATTTTTAAAATATCTGGAAAAGTTCCCGAATCAAAACAGAGATTAATAATGTATGCAAGTGTAAAAGATATTTCATTTTTCAATTCTTGTAATGTTTCTGATTTAATCCCGTCAATGCCGGGAGCTTTTCCTTTTTTTAAGTCTGTAATGATATTCCTTACTTCATTTTGTGTTGTGGGGTGCAAATAAATAGAGTGTTCGATGTTTTCAATGATATCGTCATCGCCTGTCAGATTTATTTGACTAGCTAGTTTTTGCCCCAGTTCTGTAAAATATGTGTTAAAATGGTTAGCTATGTCTTTTGAGTTATTTAAGGTTTTTCCGTTTTCTATTTTTATATTTTCTATTTTATTTTTTTCAATCTTCGTTTTGGTACATATATTGTTTACACAATTCCAGAGAGTTTTATTTTTATTTTGATTTTGGTTTATCTGTGTTTGTACATATCTTTTTTTTGTTGTTTTGATAATTTTATTCAATTCCGCTTTGTGATTTTTGTATGTTTCTTTTAATTGTTCATTGTGTGGCGCATTTTGACATTTTATGTACAAATCATTTTTGTATTGTATTTTCTTAAGTAGGCTTTTTGTGATCCAAGTTTTTCTTCCGAAATTCTTATTGTTTAATTTGATTTCTTGGGTGTGTTTTTTGATGAAGTGCGTTAGGACATGAATAAAAGCTTCCATTGCTTTACTAGGATCTTTTTCTGTATATACCATGTTCCAGTTTTCTTTGTTTAAATCAGTTTTTAGAGCATTATAATTAATATATTTTTTTGTGTGTCGAATATTTTCATTTATTTTAAGTTCTTTAGTTGGTAAGCTTAAAACAATTGGATAATGATCTGTTAAATCGATTTTCAATACAAAAGATTTTGGCGTTTCCAAAACATCCTGATTACAGACCTTTACGAAATAATGATCAAGACATGATTTTGTTTGAGGCCTAGTTACTGTGTTAATATAAGACGTAAAGAAATAGAAATTTAGAATATTTTTGTATTCTTCGTCTTCAGGTGATAATGATAGTAAATTCATATTGAGGTCTCCAGTAATTATATGGTTTTTTGCATGTTTTTTCATTTCAAGATACTGTGCAAAATCGTTAATAAATTCTGCTTTGGTGATATTAGGGGATTTGTATATACAACTTATTAAAATTTTATGATTTAGATTCGTGTCGAGTTCTAGTTCTATGGCTTTTACTTGACCGATGTATTCGAATTTATAGGTGTGGGGTATTGTATTTTTCAAAAATACAATTGTCCCATCGCACTTGTTATACTGTCCCCTATTGTATCTAGTTTTGTATCCGTCCAGATTGAAGACCTGTTCGTCAAAGATGTGGTATGTTTCTGTTAATATAATTAAATCAAAATTGAAGCCTATTTGATTCAACAGACATAGAAGTTTGTCGTAGTTCTGGTGTACACTTCTGATATTTAGGTGGAGTAGTTTTAGATTGTTTTTGATGTCAATGTAGTTCTTTAAACTATTTGGCTTTTCGATATCTACAGCCCTTATGTTTTGAACAGAAAAATCTCTTATGAATGAGTCCATTTGTAAGATTTATTGCAACTCTTTTTATAAATTTTTAATTATATTGGGTAGGTTTTTTTTTTTTTTTTTTTTTTTTTTTTTTTTTTTTTTTTTTTTATAAATAAATAAAAATATTGAAAATTTACGAGATATGAGTCAAGAATGTCAGTCTGTATAAATGAGTGTATTCGCCTAAAAGTAATACAGCCTTCAGAATCTTCTTGCAGTTTTCTTCTTTTTGTTAGATCTTGTTTTAATTCCTTCTGGGCTAGGGGTTTTCTGTTGTTTTCTCTTTTTGCTTTTCTTGGTTTGCGCGATACTGGGTTCTGACTTTGATTTCACTTTTTCCTTCTCTTCTTCTTCACTTTCTTCTTCGCTCGATTCCTCAAGATCTGAGCTACTGTTTAAGGACACATCCGGATCTGAAAGGTCTTCTAATTCTTTAGCCGTATAAAGTTTACTATCAATTTCCAATTTGAGTCCTTTTATTTTTGCTTGTTTGTTTTCGTTCAACGCTTTTTTTAGGTG